TGTATTCTTATTTGTTTGCAAATATAAATTTAATTTTCGAGGAAAATTTTCTCCATCTTTTCTGGAAGGCTGATGAAAAGTTTCCATCTAACCCTCGCCATAACTCTCCGGTCCGGATTAGGTTGTATCCTCAGAGTCAGTACAATAGCGCCCAACGATATCATCATCCGTAGGAAAACCAGTTATGAAAAATTCATTATCTTCGAAATCAGCTTCAATTATTTTTTGATTTTCGTCAATACTTCTTCCTCTTCTTCCACTTATGGCGGTTATCTATACAAGTTTAACCAGAAAAAGTATTTGAAAATTAGTGAATGTCGTAGAAAAGCAGAGAAACAAGCAAATGAAACTGAAAAAACGGCTTTCCCCAAATAAAAAAAAGAAAACTAAACTAAAACTAAAAGGCTAAAAACGGCTTCCTAGCAACAAAATGTAATACTAAAGAGAGAAAGAAAATTACTTCCCGTTATAGAATTCATATGAACTAGTATATATTTTTGTACGAGAACTTCGAGTAAGGGATAATTGCACATCAGAGTGTAAAAAAATTATTATAATTTTTTTTTAATTTGTTTTTTTTTTTTTTAATAGCACTGAAGTGAGCGCCTCAAATCAAAAATGATGTGGCTGGCCCCGGAAATTTGGTCACTTGACGACGTCTACGATAGAAAAATCAAAAAGATTACTGTTCTACTTTATTTCGAAAAAAAAAAAACGAAATTAAAGTTTCAACAACAGATGCAGCGTTACGGCTCAGCGCATTCTACCACGAGACGCTCACTTATAGGTGCAGATTATAATTTGTTCTCAACAGTCTTTACAGTTTATTCCAAATACATAATGATTTCGATCGATTTTCTCAAACCACAAAGTCAACCGACTACTTAAGGGGTTATATACTCGTAGAATTTTCGCAAAGTTCAAAATTGTTGATTGTTTTTGCATTATCGGAATGTAAATATATTTAAGTAAATTCACCGAAAATACGATAAATATTTTTTTTAGATATAACCGAAATAGAGAATAATTTAACTATGTATGTCTAATCTACTTTTGAATATTTAAACGCGTTGTTTGTTTAAAATCGATGATCTCGGTTTTTTACCCAATCAGCACCACTCCTCCTTTTTATGAAGGTCGTTCAGAATAATACAACAGCGCGTTGTGAATGTAAAAATAATTATTTGCAGCGATTCTGTGGATGATATGATTATTTTTAAATTACTATCACTCACAATTGATAAATAAAACTTGTTTCTACAAAAAGATTTATGGAAAATATTTAGCGTGCTACAGCCCCTTAAACATCAATCGCTTAAATTTGAATACAGGCATCACTAATATAATTTGGATCTTTCGTATGAGTTCATTTTTATAGGGTTTGATAAAATGATAATTCGATACTTAAGAGTTTATATTTTGATGATATGGAATCTTCTCACTTTTCAATAACTAAAGTTTTACTGACTTTTTAAACTCTAATTCTCAAACTGTCACTTTTGACTTCAAAATCTGGTTTGGCTGTACCAAAGATTATACAATTTTGACAGCTTTTAAATAAAGGAAAAAAATTTCATAACTTGAAACCATGATCACTGTAAGTAAATTCGAAATAGACTTTGGCACTGCCTTTCGCTCAACTTTGTATTTTCGAATTTGAAGAGAAAGGGGAGGAAAGAAACAAAAATCGTTAATTTTAGAGGGATTTATATAAATAATGAAGATAATATATTATTTTTTGAAAAATATATGTATATGTATATGTATGTATTTGTATACATACATTATTTATATAATTGAAATTCTTTTCAGCCGAGCTCCTCCTTATATTTATGATGTGCACCTTGATCTTTCCCAACAAATGTAAGGACCTAGATTTAATTTGAGCTACCTTGAGAGTGTCTGGCAAATTTGCAGGAGAATCCTTTATTTCATGTCAGAAACACAATTGAAGTGCGTGACATTCCCAGCGGCCAGAACTAAAACCCAGTGACAGTCTGGACTGCCCTGAATCCGAGATCAATCACGGAAGGTCAAGTTTATAATTGCAAGGGGGAAGGAAATGACTTATTTATTAAAAGTTCTTAGTTCTTGATGCATAAATAAGGCTTGGAGGAATCAAAGCTGGTGGAATGAATATTCAGACGAACATAATAAAAGGGGTCTAGATGATCTAGAGATGATAACTCCTCTTATTAATTCAGTTTAAAATAATCTTCAAACATCACTTTACGACTATGCGGTGGGGGTAGATTATTGAGCCGTAAATGACTTTTATAATGAGGAAGAATCTTATTCGCATCCCAAAGTAAGTTGCTTAAACGATAATAAGAATTCCAATTTATCTCTATACAATTGATAGTCTGGATTCCCTACAACTGAGTTTAATTTGGTAATGAATGGGTCTCTGAAGTCCTTAATCCAACATTTAATGAAAGCTGAGTATTGTTTTGCCTCATTAACACAAGAGTTTATATTGGTAAAGTAAAAAGTTCGTTCGGTTTTTATTTAAGAGATGGTGTTATTGTCCATAGTACTAGTGCTACGCGTCGCATCATGTCACACTATATGGCGCTGAAATCGTGTTTATACGCGATAAAATTGTGTATTTAACAGTTTTTCGATTGATTGACTCAGTACGTTGTGAGCGCTCGTCAAAGATGGACAAAATTCGCTATATTTTAAAATTTTTCTTCGATCAAGGCGAAAAAGCAGCCAAGGCGGCTGAAAAAATCAATTAATTTATGGGCCCGATACTGTAAACGAACGTGTAGAAAACGTGGTTTGCCAGGTTCCGTTCCGGTAATTTCGATATCAAAGATGTACCACGCGTCGGGAGGTCTGTTGTCGAAAATTGCGATAAAAAAATTTAAATAGTAGAAACAGACCGTCACGTGAGCACTTATTTAATTGCTGAAAAACTAAAGATAAACCACAAAATCGTTTGGAATCATTTGCATAATCTTGGATTCAAAAAGAAGCTCGATGTTTGCTGCTGAATCGCTACGAAATCGACCTGTTTCTGTAGCTGATTGTGACTGGCGATGAAAAATGTGTCACTTACGACAACATCGACCGCGAACGGTCGTGGTCAAAGCTCGGGGAAGCGGCCCAGACGGTGGCTAAGACCGGATTGACGGCCAGGAAGATTTTGCTGTGTGTTTGGTGGGATTGGCAAGGAATCAACTGCTCCTCTATGGCCAAACGGTCAAATCGGCCCTCTACTGCCAATAACTGGACCGCTGGAAACCAGAACTCATCCAGAAGAGGCAATCTTTGATCAACAGAGGCTGAATTGTTCATCATCAGGACAACGCCAGGCCACACACGTCTTTGGTGACGCGCCAGAAGCTCCAGGAGCTCGGATGGGAGGTGCAAATGCACTCACCTTGTTGTCCGGTTCTGGCACCAAGTGATTACTATCTTCTCCTGTCCATGGCAAACGCGCTTAATGGAGAGAAATTGGCCTCCGAGCTTTCTACCAATAGGGACGCAGCCTTCTTCGAGAGTGGTATAATGAAGTTGGCCTCTTGTTGGCAACAAGTTTACGACCAAAACGGCGCACATTTGACTTGAATTGGACAAGTGTACACAAAGTTATCATATTTTGAAAAACCAATCAAAAAAACCGAACGAACTTTTTACTTAACCTAATATTATTCCCTAAATTTTAACTTGAGGTCCAATGTTTCAATATATAAAGGTTTACATGGTACATTAAAGAAAGCGCCTAGCGAAGATACATTTTTCATGAACTTGAAATTACCCCTTTGCTTACAGACGCGACACTGGTCACTTATATACTAAGAATAAATATATTTATTTCAAGTTTATTTTATAAAAATTTCCATTATAATCAAAAACTTCCTTCACATTGTGCCACAACATAATTTTTCAAAAAAAAAAAAAAAATAAACAATGAATATAATTTAATTTGTAACGGAATGTCATTTGAAGAATCATTGAAAAAACTGTAGTGCTGTCTACTCTTTTCAATGATGAAAAACTTTAGGTTCATCCTTATTTCTACGATTTTTATTTAAATATGTGAATATCATTCTATAAAAGCAACATCTCTTGCTAAGGTAGCGTGTGGAAGAGGGACAATTGTTTACTCACTTCACCTGCATATTATTTCATCATGACTTGAAACCGCTAACAGCAGAATATGCTAGACTTTTTAACGGTCTCAGACTAACCTTGTTCTGCTGAGATTACAATTAATATTACTAAACATGATTATTTTGCATTTTTATACGTACATAATACATACACGTATGTAATGAGATCATTAATTAAATTGTGTGAATTTAGCTCGGTATTACTCATCGATTACAGCAGTGTTACGCCCTCAACAGTCGTTAAATTCGCACACTCTTAATGTCTGGTTTCACAATCTACAGTTTTGGGAAGTTAAATCTCTGCTTATGCGCTTTTTTCCATTTTATTGCATAATGGCATGTATAAATGTATGTACGTGTGTGTACATATTTGTTAGTGCCACAAAATTCACACCAAATTATGATCGCTTTGTTCTGAAGACATCAAACTGAAGTTGTTATAAAGTGATTTTTTTATATATTATATATTATTAACCTCATAAGAAGGTTTCCCATCGTTTGAGCCATAAGATGCCAGGTATAGCTTACGGAAATCTGGTATTACTGGCAATCATATTACGCTCCAGCGAAGTCGCTCAGCCTCAGGCCGTTTGGCGATGTCTCGCCATGGAGGCTGAATTTTCCGACAGTTGTGACAACAATACTTTCTTTGCCCACCCTGGCGTTAATGTCGCCAAACACAATTTTGATATCGTAACGGGGGCAGCACTCATAGGCGCATTCTAGGCACTCATAGAAAGCATACTAAATCACATTGTCCTTCTCTTCCTACGGAACGTGGGTATAAATGTAGACAAATTTTACTTTGATGCGGATTGTGTCTAGATGTTCATCCACCGGAAGGAATTACAGTACACGGCGACGTAGCCTCTCTCTTACCACAAATGCAACCACAACTTTGTGTTCCCTGGACGGCGGTGATATCAGCTTTTGATCTTATTTCCCAATTAAGTGAGCAGAAATTCCAGGTACCTGCTTAAAATAATAGCGGGAACTCGTAAGCTGATTGAACCATATCTGAAATAATCGTTTCTCAGTACTCCCAGGTGAATGGCTTACTTAAAAACTTACCTTATTTGCTTGAACTTCTACATATGGCCTCTTACTCCATTCCAAATAATTTTCGAAAATTCACAAAATATTTTAAGCATAATGGTTTATGCAGAAGTTTTTGATTTTGGTTATATTTTCTTTGTCCTCCAGTGGATACTCAGCTCCTCGGCTCCATCGTACTCGGGGCTCCCTTAAAGTTTGAAGACCTCAAAGTAAGGTAATAAATAGTTCTTTGAATTAGAATATTATTTCTATAAATTGCAATTGTACCTCACAAAGTTTTGCTGAATATTTTTCTGCAGCCTTCTTCTCACATCGTCCATTCCAGTTCCAAGTGCAGGTTGCACCATTGACTTGCAATTTAAAATTAACTTTGATTATTTATACCGAAAACTGCTGTTCTACTCATAAATAAGAATATGAAATGAAACCCATAATCCGTCAAACTACGCTCTCTTTCAATTTTTATGTGCTCAGAAGAGAAAAATAAGCAAAACAACTTGCTTATGTTTATGTCATTCTAGTACGAAATCGTGTGAATTGGTGATCCCATCGCGGCCGTTCTTGCAGAGAAGAGATCATAGATTTGTGTAGGTAACGGAGAAATTCCAACGCCCATTCAGGCAGCGGCTTCCTTCTGCAGCAAGTAAAAGCTCACCAGGACATCGCCCCCAGCCAGCCAGTGGCTTTCTACTACCGACAGTAAATATTTCACGGAGCATCTGTCCATAGCAGACTGACTCCTGTACTAATCCGTCGTTCGCATCATGTTGTTGTCTGATGCTGATTGCGTTGCACTTAATATCCTAACTTGAAATTTGTATGTATGTCACATTAATCTGTAAATTAAATTCTCATTACAGATCCAGCACTTTGCTTATCTACAGGATATCAATCGCAACCAGCCAAAGTCAACAGCCGGCGTTTCCGAGTTGACGGGCAAGCCACATACTGCGCAACAACAGAAGAAAAGCGGCAAATCGGGACGCGCCCATGTGTCTCCTGCGCAGTACCGCGGTAATGCCGAAGAAGCCGAGCAACGTTATGCTGTTGCCATACAACCACCCAACCCAACGTCGGCTCAAGCACCTCATTATGGCGCGCCGCCATTACAGATTGGTTCACGTTATCAACTGCCATTGCCGCTCCCACAGCAACAACAGCCAGGCGGACAGCAGCCCCAACCTTATCAAATAATACCCGAAGAGGAATTTCTAAAACTTTTGGAGGAGGAATTGCGTGCTCGCGCGTTTCACGAAGCTCAGTATCGACAACAACAACAACAGCAACAGAGTGGGGTAGGACCAGCTCCATTGCCCAACAAACCGATATCACTGCCTATACCCACTGAACGTGTTGGTCAGGGCTTAGGCAATTATCGTCAACAAGTACATGTCCAGCAACAACAGTTGGCTGAGGAGCCAGCGCCGCAATATGTACAATACGTGCCACGGCACCGCGGCGGCCCTAAATACCTGCCCCAACCTCAACCTCAGCCACAACCGCAACCACAACAAAGTGAACCACAGAGTGTTGAGCCTGCAGCAGCAGTGGCACCACCACCACCACACATACCGCCTCAAATTGCATACTATCAACCACAAGTCAGCTACAAAACATTGCCTAATCATCCGTTAGCAAAGTCTTCATTGGAAAATGAAATCGAAAAACTGCTAGCAGCAAACAAACCTTCACCAACGCAATTGGTGGACAATTCCAACGAACCATCTGGTGTGGTTAATCAACACCAGCAGCCACCGCAACAACAACTACAGCCACACCCACTACCGCGGCCACGTCCATATGCATTGGCACAGAAACTTTATTCTCCTCCAAGTGGCTCGCCGCCCACCCCCACACCATTGGTGGATGCCAACAATCAGCCGTTTATACCATCCTTGTTTAGATTTAGCAACCTTCAACAGCCCACACCCATTTACCCCACACAAGTGCCACAACACATTGTTGATTCCAAGAAACTGGGACCTGTCGTGTATCCAGCAACGCAAGCACCCGTCACATCACAGCAGCCACAGCCGACGCAATATTTCTACCAAGAATTAAATCCAACAACCAGGCCGAAAGCACAACGCTCCAAGCAATATGGTTCAAAGGTATCTACGACCTCGCCGAAGCTGCGAGAAAAGGAACCGCCAAATTATCCAAACGTACCAGCAGCTGCCAAGTATATTAATCCTCATCTATATTACGACTATGACCGTCAGCCCGCTGTACAGACTGCGCCTTCTCGATTCCATCCCAGCCCACCCGATCCGAATGCACCCACTGCCGATCACACGCAATCACAGCAACAGCCACAAATACAAGCGCATGCCCAACAATACCATACCGCCGCAACGCCTCCACAACAAACGCACACAAACCGCCAATATATCTCGCCCGCCCCACCACCATCACAATCCAGTATTTATGTATCACAAGGCACCGGCATCGCTACGCCCTCACGCAGCACTGCCGTCAAATCAAAATCTATCGAAGATGTACGTCAACTACATTTACCCCAGCCTGGTGGCAAACCACTCACACAAACCGAGTTCCAGGCATTAATCGATGCTGGTTATCCGGTGACCGCGGTGCCTGTACCCGTACCTGTACCGTATGAACAGTATATCAAGGAACATCCCGAATTTCGCAATCAACCGGTGGACTATGCGCAGCTAATGCAACACATAGCGCAGCAATATGGACCACGTAGGGGTCTACAAGGTCAACCCTCTGAACCGACAGCGAACATTGTGTCCGCTATGTCCGATGCACAAACGGCGACAGCTACAGGTGGTGGAAGCGTAACATATTTGCGGCCAATAGCCGAACAAAAGAGACATCCTCGCGACGAGAAGGAAACAGCGGTAGCTGGAAAACCAGAACAAGAAACCAAGCAATAACGTGCGCACAAGTAATCGTAGCTTTTAACTTTTTTTTCATCTGGTTAATTTTGTATAGTCCCTATTCAGTACGTTAATGCGCCAATGTAGCAAAGAATTTTAAATGAATTTTTAAAAATGTTCGTATTGCAAGCAAAGGCGAAGTAGATGGAGGCCAGTGAAGATCGCTGTGAGTTGTGCGGAGAAAACGAAAGGAAGAAGACCAACCAGCTCACTCGCTATCAACAGTTTTTGTACATTTTTTACAATTGTTTTATACAAATTAAGTTAATGCAGTATTTTTTTATTTAAAAAAACATTTAACTGGTCTGCAACCAAGATTTAGAAAATGTTCACTTTCATTTATCAAGCTTTGATTGGCATGTACTGCACGTTTATTTATAATTAATTATGTATTTGTAATTCTTAACACTATAGTTCTGTAGAAAAAAACGTATATTTCGAAAAACGAAACAAAACGGAGTTACGAAAATCTAGGCAGCGAAACTAAAACTAAAAAAAAATTAATGATTGTAGTGAATTTATATAAAATATACATACATATGTATGTTGCAATGTGTATACGCACTGTATATGTACCATTTCCATTACATTTTATAAGTAGCCGAAAACTTCACCTGAATAATCATTATATTTTATGCATATACATATTTAAAAAAAATGCTGCTAGAAAACTTTAACTCTAAACATACTTTTGATGTGTAATTTTAGCAAATTACTGTATATAAAAGTAAAATGTATGATATATGTAAAAGTGTATTGCATTATTTAGTTTATGTTAAATTTAACGTTGGCGGATTACTATTTGAATTACTGCTGTCTGCTGAGCTGAGTGTTTCAGGTGTAGCTTCCTTTGCCTGTATACGTGAAATGCTGGGATCCTTTTTATCTTTACGTTCACGCTCTTTGTCGCGCTCCTTCTCTTTGTTATGCTTGTGTTTATGCTTATGTTTGTGTTTCTTTTTGTCCTTCTTCTTCTTCTTCTGCTAAAAAAAATCAAAATATAATTTTATATTTGACAACATACACTTTCATATTTCGTAATTTTAATAAATACCTTCGTAGTGTTCTCGCCTTTGTGTCTACTATCGGCATCCGTTTTATTCGCCTCAAAGCTACTATCTGCCTTCATTAAAGAGGTATCACCAATATCGATAATTGTAACGGAGTTATCATCCTCCTCGAAAATTTCGCTTTTCAAACGTTTCGGCTCAGGCGAAAGTACTGCCGCTTTCTCCACCACATCTTCTTTAACATCAATCTTTGTTTGATTTTCTATTGACTCCACTTTCATATCATTTTCCTCGACAACCGTTACGACTTCGGTTGTTTCCAATTTTATAATTTCATTGTCTACCTCAAATGCTTCGGTGGCTGTGCGTTTCATTGGTGTAACGGTATTTTTTATTTGTTCTTCGACAATATCTACAACTTCATCCTTGTCTTCCTTCGTAGGTGGCGGGGCTTTCGACTCATTGTTTGAAACTACATCGCTGCCGGGCATGTTCGCTTTCTTATTGCCTTCCTTAATGATTTCTTTATACATATTGCTGACTTCGGCTGATTGCAGGCATAATGGTCGCTTCGTGCCATATAAAGCATGATATAAATCCACCATATCACAACGTAATTTTGTATCGAAGGCTAATTTGTGGCTAAAGCAGTAAAAAAAATAAATATATAATATTTAGTTTTAAATTCAATAAATTATAAATTTGAAGCAGTGAAACTCACTTCATATTCACCCATAAGCGTTCTACTAACTCCGGACGGTCCAAGCGGCTACTACGTGACTCACGCGTGAAGGGGGGATTGTCGATTAGAAGTTGCGCCAGCGCATGCCTGGCTGCTGGATCGGGATCTGTCTCTAAAAGCGTTATTAAATGGTCCAAGTCCTCCCAGCGACCATCTACTTTAACAAAATCCACCAAACATTCCATGGCTGCGATACGTAAATCAATGTATTGTCCGTAAGCTGCATAACAACGATAAATTTTTGGCAGCGAAGGTAAGTGACCACATTTTTGAAGTTTACGTATCACTTTTAGACACGAAACTGATACCATATATTTATATGACGGCAAGTTCTTTTCCATATTTAGAAGCCGTGTGACTTCTTCGAGTACAAGCCTTTACAAAATTAGTTTATATTTGATAAAAATAAAAAAGAACAAGTATGTTACAGTAGCTTACTTAGCATCCGCAGAAAGACTATCGGAAGTAATTGGTGTACCACGTAACGCCACTGAAACTACAGGCGTAATAGAATTGCCCAAGGCGTCCACCAATGCAGCGCGATAATAAACATCCGAATAGTGATTGCGTGTATTATCATTATATTTGAAAAGATCTAGTATAAAGCGTATAACCTCTGGCGGACAGATTCCATGTGATGTGCGGAGGCCTTAAAGATAATTAAGCGTTAAAAACTATGTGAAACAAATGCTCATATCAACTACTAACCAGCCATTGCCACGGGTATGACTTTTTGCAAGAAGTATAGCTGAAAGTTTGAAAAGTTATTTTGCTTTATAATATGGGGTGCGCTAAATGAGCCAAAGAATTTTCGAAAGATATTCAACATAGCCGGTGGTCCACTCCATTGTGTCACCATTTGATTAGCTACTTTGGTCAGACAATGTGCTGCCTCGCAGCGCACTTTATAAAAACAGCGCTCATTCTCAATGGTATCCGTTAGCGCTGAGCGTGTCGCATTTGTTGGATATTTCTCTAAGGCTTTTATGGCCTCAAACTGTGCGGTTACATCACGCTCGTGCCGCAACTGATATTGCCACTGGAAATCCGGTTGTTCAATATTTAAGTCACGTATCAAAATCATTTCCGGATCCAAGCGTATCCAAAGTACCGGTGAATCGCTTTTGAGTTAAAAAAATGTATTAGTATTGTAAACTATATAGCAAAATTAAGTGTTTATGACTTAGTTTTATAATTAAAACACTTACTCCATCGCCGACAGATCCATATCGACCTCTTCGCCTGTACAGAGCGGAATTTTCTTCTTTTTATTTCGTCGGCTCTTCGAGTGACAAGTTATGTCTGCCTTCACCACTGTATTCTCAATCTGTAGCATGTGTTTAAAAGTGCCATCTAACTCTTGCAATTGCACCAACAAAGGTCCATTATATTTACGCACGCCTCGTTGATTAACAAAATCTTGCCGTATTTCCAATTCAATTGTATTACGTTTTCGATTGAACACCGAGGTGAAGGAGAACTTCGCGTGACCACCTGTACGCACCCACTGATCCATGAAAACAGACATATCCTTACCGGTTACGGTAAAAATCGCTTTGATGAAAATATTCGTGGATATAAGCAAGTGATGCCATAGCCCTGAGCCAATTTTGGTCACGGCAGCATTTGTAGCCAATACCAATTGTTTGTTGAATACCTGTAATGATAATTGAGCAGTTTTGAAAAGTTTGGTTTGAAAATATTTTAATTCAAACTTACTTGTATCAGCAACTCTTGACCTATGCGATGCTCCAACATGCGTATGACCAAATGCGCTTTGCGTCTCATTGCTTCCACATATTTAGGAGAGACAGTGTGCAAACTTTTTATCGGAAAATAATGCACGATTTCTGTTTGTTTGCTAGCTACACTTGCCGGATTTGTACTGGACACCGGTAGTGGCGCTGGTGGTTGACTGCAATCAAGTATAATACCACCATATTGCTCCTCATAGCGCACCACTCGCGCCAATTCCGATTGAACCCATTCTCGGTACTCATTATTACCGAAACATTTTCGGGAATACAAGCCGCACAAATATTCAGCAATACCTTTAGCTAACCAAGTGTCGGACCAATGGTGTGAGGTGATGAAACAACCAAAGAACTGTTCTGCAATGGCGCGCGACATTAAAGTACGTGTTATATAAGTCTGATCGATGATAGCAATGGAATGCATAAGGTGAACAGAAGCAATGCTTAACGTTGCATAAGCGCTTATGTCGGTATCTAGTTCATCTACAAAAACCTGTTTGTAGCATGAGAAGGGATAACGTGTAGAAAGAGTTTCTTCAAAGAATTCAAAGGCTTCGTGCAGATAACGCACTGTGTTTTTCAAAAGTGGCAACAATTGCGGTAAACAGAAATGCGTAACCTCATGCATATGGGGATCTACATAGATCTCGAATGGGCCAACTGCTAGAGCTATGTTGGGTGCACAGACAGGCGTTGTGAGTGAATAATGAAATGTTTTTCGCCTCAAATCCGGTGTCATAACGACTTCCACCAATTCGCCGCAGGATACAGCAGTCAAATGTTTGTCAACGGTAAATTCAAGTTTCCATGTGCATGGATCAGCGAAACTATCAACACATGGGAACCATAGGCGGGTCGAGTTTTCATACGCATACGTAAACATATGGGCGCTGTTGGGTTGCGTTTCATCCTCGCTGGTTGGTGGTATAACAAAGTGTATGCCTCCTCGTGGATCTTCCATAGAGAACTCAATGCCAATACGTAAGCCACGTCCCTCTTGTATCATGTGATAGCCCTCTGGTGGTATCAGTATCAGTAACTCGCCACAGTTAACGTCAGGATCGGTTTTCTGTGCGCCAGAGAGATGATTTTTAGAATACACATCCAATGAGCGTCTAAAAAATTATTAAAGTCATAGTTATAAAAAATGTATTCATTTGCTAAAAAAATATAAATTAATATTTCATACACTTTGGTATCGCCTTGACAAATATCCATAAAAGGATCAAAATAATAGAACTCCGCCTCGCAGACATCATTCAATAATATACGATAAATGCGGCACTGCTTTGCATTCAACCGTATAAGTCGTAAATTTTCCTTCGTTGGCACGATAGTTAGCTCCACAGCTCCCTAGCAAAAGCAAAAACAACAATCACAGAAAGTCATATACTGCAATGTTCAATTTCAAATTTAACCACAAACTTACAATTATGCTCTTTCGTTCAAAACTTATGCCAGTCAAACTCACAATTTGATGCGCCGTATAATTATGAAATGAAAATAATAAAAAAATATTATTAACTAATATAAATTTCGCTGCACTTGAGCACCAACACCGGCAAATCGGTGCGTGTTTAATATAGAAAATTTTCCATTTACTTAATTCCCAAATCAACTAATAGAATACTTATAATTTGAATGGGCGCGCAGGCAAATCTTTTGCCTCTGGTTTTGGTTCACTATCCATTTTTACACTATTCTTTCACAAAATTTATAAGTTTTAAAATCCCAACATATCTCCATCTAAAATTGTTTACTGCCACAGCAACAGAGAACGTATAACATATCTGTATGTTTGTAATACGTTTTCTGACAGCAATAGTTGTCAAAATGTCAGCTGCTTACAAACGTGGCGAGCACAATGAATACGCCATGTAAGCACAGTGAAGAATTGTATTATTGGTATAGAAAGTAAAATAAAACATTGCCATTCAAATCAAGAATTATGAACTTGTGAACAAGTAGTGTATTTACAAAAATGAGAGCATAATTTTAACATTTAGATCGGAGTTGAACGCTAAAAATTGTCGAAAATCTTCATGGTCACAATAACGATGCGTCAACATTGAGCGAATGGAATTTTCAATTACATAACGCGTTATATGATGAAGTTTTTTTTTTTTTAATAATTTGAGGAAAATGTCAAATACGAATAAGTGGGAGAAAAAGGGACTCGAGAACATTCATATTGAATTTTCTAGAAGATAGTTGCGAATAACGTGTGGCTATATAAGAGTGAAGCGTGCTCTGCCGGCAAGTTGAGTTGAATTTGAAACTCGAAATTGACAGCAGCAATGTAAAAAAATGAAGCGGAATAAATTGTGAGTTTACACCAAAATTATGTTTTAAATTTTTTAAAATAAGTCGTCGTGTACAACAATAATATAAAATAATACATATCTTGGCACTGTTATCCAGTGATGTTGTTGTTGTCCTTCTTAGAGACAGGTTTACTCAATCGAAGTCGCCGAGGTCATCTAATGGGATGTCCAGGAAACGTGCTGTTTCGACGGGATTGAACCAGAGGTAGAGGGGGGTTAGATGTGTCGGCTTAAGGGAACATATGAAGAGGTGGTTAGTGTCGTGCGGAGACTTTCCACATGCAGGGCATACGTTGGGTCTTGCCTGCAATTCGTGGTGATTTTTTCTGAGCACGCCATGCACGGGAAGGGAGTCTTTGAAGATGTTTACTGACTCCTGATGAATGGCGTTCAGTGCTTGTCTGTATGATGCCCTGTCCAGCGGCTGTTGCACATATTGTCCTTCTTGTCAAGTACTCCCTTCCTGATGTAGCTAGGTGGAGGTTCAGCTTCAATCAGGTGCTTATTGGGGTGCTCCCGTATGCGGAGTGAAGGAGTGCAGGCTGCCTAGTGTGACTCCCAATATCTTTGGATTTTTTTAGTCGGAATTTTTACGTTATCGACCTTCATATCTAATTCAAGCCTGTACTCCTTCATCCAGCTGGTAAAAAGGGGAGCCGAGGATTTAGTTTCGTGCAGTGAAGAAGTGAAAAAGGTCGGCAAGATAGCCGTTCACCTTCGAACAAAGGTAATTAATATTCTGGTCAGACGCCAATATCGTGTAATCATCGGCATACGAGGTTAGGGGAACTCCTTCTGGCGGAGAAGGGAGATATGTAAAAAATGAACAGTAGTGGGGAGAGGATGTTACCCTGCGAAGCCCCCTGTTTAATTTTCTTAAGTTACGATGCCCATGACCTACTTCTGCAGCCCTGACCGTAATGAGGATTCCCCAATATCCGTTAGTAGCACTGAATTGTTGACGATTTTCAAAAGCTTTTAACAGATCCAGTGTTACCAAGACAGTTCACGCGCAGGGTCGGTTTTGGTTAAAGCCATTGTGGTGCTTGTGGTAATATGCACTTTACGGAAGCCATGCTGATGTGCTACTGGGCGCAGATGGTGAGTGAAAGTCAGGAGCAGCAATACGTCAAGTGATTTCGCTACTGGGGTGAGGAGATAAGACTCTCCTTCGTTGGCTAGTTTCCCCGGCTTGAGTAGCGGGACCCCCCTGCCCGTTTTCCACACGCCATGTATCATCAGGGTGGTCAAAGACATGTTCAGTACCTTGGTGAGAAAGTCTATTCCCGCTGGTCCAAGATGTTTTAGCATCATCGTGCTTATTTCGTCGGGGCCGATAGATTTGGACGATTTCGCCTTCCCGATTGCCACCTGAACCTCTTCCCTGCAGAAATCAAGCGCCGCTCTGGTGTTTGGCAGTTTGTGCATACTGCGGTCATCGCGTTTCGTCGGGTTAGACAATGACTTGACTGCATCCCAGAGCCCCAGGGGAGAGATTGCAGGCCTTTAAGTGCTCTTCTCGGTGAATTCTGTTATGCCGGACCAGTTAGCTTTTTTAAAGTTAACAATGGTTTTAGGAATTCTTCGAGCGAAGTGCAATTATTTTTACATTTTTGGATCGTTGATACTCCCATACATGTGTTTTCGAAGAACGTCACATATTTCAAAAATATAACAGTTGAAGAGCCAATGTAAGACACGCAATTCAAAAATTATTTGGTTGAAAGCCCCCTATGAAAAATATTCAAATGAACATAGCGACGAAATACAACAACTCCACTCTAATAAACAACGACTCGCAGCTCATCCGAGCATAGAATGTCTTGAAATATAAACAAAATTGTGGCAATATAACAATTAAAATCTCGAATGTATATTTCGTAGTATACTAAATCCACAGTAGTTGAGCCATGGCCGATGATGATGAAAATAAACAAAAGAAACATACTATCGAAAGCCTGTTTCACCTCTACGCGAACAATAACATAAACACCTTGGATATGGAAAATGAAATGTACGAGACCATATTGTTGTCGCAAATCGATTTTTGGCTGGATCAGGCGAAATTGTTAAAAGCTGTATTCACGATGACCGATACTGGCTTGGTTTATATGAAATTTAAGTAATTTGCATTTAGCTTCATACCTTTTTTTAGTGATAATTATCTATGTTCATATGCATTTAAATTTCTTTTTGAGAAAATGGCGGCTAGATTTTGAAGAATTTTTGGATTTTCTAAATATGCTTTGTCAAGCTAAGGACATAAAAATTGATGATGTGAAAAAAGCTCTGCTGGAAGCTGGACCACCTGGAGGAGGCACTGAAATTGTTGTAGTAAAATAAATTTAGGTACTTATGTTTTTGGACAAGTTTTATAAATATGAACTGGTGTTATGTATACCATGTTCTAAATTAAAAAGTATTTCTTTTGCAGATAATCTATTAGAAGAAACAAACAATCGTTAAGCTGATTTGTATTTATCCACCTGAAGACTATTGTCCTAAGATTCTAGTAAAGTAAACTTATAAAATCGTATAAAATCTATTTTGAAGTAATAATGCTTGGAATAAAAGTACTCTAGTTGAGTAAAATAGCAATTTCCTTTGGTTTTCTTTCATTTATTTACAGTATATCGTAATAATCTAAATATAATTGTATAAGTTCCGTAATATTTCATTTAATTATATAGTTAATATTAAATGGGTTTTATAGAATTCAGATTTGTTTTCCTTTTTTTTTATTTATTTTTCTTCCACTCCAACTTTGTTTTTATGGTTGTTTCCTTCAATTTTTGCGTAAACTGTTTGTGTCTTTTCTCGTAATAATTACTCTCTTTATTATATTTATTATTATTATGAGTGATCGAAATTATTACCGGCTATTTAACAAACATGTGTTTACCAGCTGCAAGACAATTTCTTATGCGGGAAAATTGTCAACATTTATGTTTTTTATTATGTATTTATTGGATTTTAAATCTACGATAATTTGCAACGGAAGCGGGGATTTTTCGTTTATTTGTTTGTGTATTTAATTAATTTTAACCGCATATGCACCGTAGACGCCTACGTACGTACATACATACACATGTATATAACTTCATTTTTTTAATTAAGCCATAGAATACAAACATTCAAAAACAAATTTTACAAAAAGATAATGTTTAAATAATAACACAAATACAAAAGGACTAATCACAAAAAGAAAATTAAAAGAAAAACGACTCTAGTGTGCGGTAGGCCGACATTTAACCTAACAAATAAGTGAGTTTATTTATATGTATATGTGTTCAAAAGTTGAGCTTTCTTATACACACTAAATTCCATTAAGAAAGAAATTCAAGTTTACATTAATGAGAAAATGCATACATACATTTTTTTTGACTTTCAAAAGAAATACGTTAAAGTTTTTATTACTACTCAATTTGGGGCACAAATTCGATTTTTTTTAATGCATTGTTCACAACTTTGGTACTTAAGAATGTGGCACACACTTTCTTTCCTTTTTGCTCTTAAAGAGCAAGGCATATTTCTGCAATAGATTTTAGAATGGAAAATGGAATGGAGCCACATTTTTCGCACGCTGTTCACAGTTTCACAGAATTGGAGATTACTTCAAAATTTTTAGAGAAATTTTGTGGTGTTAAAAGGGCTACTGTATTTAGTTGTATCTTTTATTTTTCTTTTATATTCAACATAAGAACATTTCTGCTAACATTTACATGCGTTAGCACTTATTTACTTTGCTGCTACTTTTTTGCATATTTTTTTTTTGTTAATTATAATGCACTATCTTTTGTTCACTTGCATAACTATTTATTTCGTAAATAATGAATGCATTTGAAGGTGAATGTTTCGCAATTCTTTGTTTAGTTTAAAACTTTACTCTGAAATATGTAGCTATTTCGGATTTCTATACTTGTCTTCATGTTGTTACTTTCCCTCGGGTTTTTTTTATATGTAGGATTATATGTTTATGTGTTGTGTAATTTTTTTTAATATCAAAAGGAATGATACAAAAAAACATTTAATATGCCCTTACATCGGGCCATCTATGGCGCTAACTTTTAAACGGAAATAATAAACCGAACGTGCACATAAGAAGGCTGCAATCAAAAATAGGCCAATGTATGCAATAACAATACCGCCATGATCCTGTTAATAGAGCAAATAAATAATTAATTAATAATACGTGATAAAAGGTCTAGACTTACCTGTGCATACTTGTATGTACCAATAGTAATGCCAATGCCTGCAACGAGGAACAGCAGTCCGAGAATAGCAAACAATATGCCTCGTCCACAAGCAAAACGCGAGCCAACAGATGAAACCTTCCTGCAGTGTGGACAGCGAGCGAGTGCATTGTGAAAAGTGTTGAACTTGAAAAAAAAATAAAATTAAATTAAATTAAAAAAATTCAAATATATGCTTATGCACTACATACCAAAAATGTATCTGAACAATGGCCACAAGTAACACGGCACATGCCTGGCATTGCCGGTACCGGTGGGGTAACTGGACTCGGTGCTAAGTTAATTATACGCTTGCAGTTGGGCCGAGGACAAGCAATACGTTGCGACGAACTCTTACAAATCAACAGACAGTTGCATGGACAACGTACATACTTCTTGCCAGGTGGAGCATTGCGTATTGGCTATAAATATGATATTTGAAGTTTATTTAGTACACAATTTTGCAGATTAGCATTGTTTGTCAACTTACTGTTGCCTCATTGCAATGACTGCACTTCACAACGTGCTGGTCTCGTTTTGTTGTAATATCGATCATGTTTTGGCACACCCGGCATGTAACCATCGGTACACCGGTTCCAGTGTTTGCCTGATACGGCGGTGGCACTTCATCGGGCCCAACAAATGGTACATTTGCCTGCGATACACCGCCTGGAAAGATTTTCTATTAGTTTTACATATTTTATTAATAAGTGCGCTAATATTTGGCACCCTTTTGGCGAAGTAAAATATTAACCTTTTCTGTAAAACAAATACATGACAGTCCTATGGAATGCCATGCATAAACTGAATAGCAGTCAGTTTGAAACCGCAAATGCAATTATGTTTGGACGTATGTATGTGTCTAAATAGATTGCATTATTATTATTATTGCAGTTTTGTGTTAGGTACTATGCTTTAGTGAGCGATAGAGATCTATGTCAATGCTAATAATCAGTGCGAAATCTTAAGATTCAAAGTAGCGGTATTCTTTCAACTTTCCCATACATGTTTGTATGTAAGTATCTATATATGTATGCACATATTAATGAATTAATGCTAAACAAATTGGGATACATAGTTTTATATGCAGAACAATATATTAACTATGGTTATAAGTATAAATAAATGTTCCTACTTTCGAATTTGTAAAAACATTAACATCGCTGGGATAAGCATTACACAAATAACATTTGTTTGATAACATATCGCAAGACAACAGCTGGTCTCACAGTAGCCATGACGTGTGACTCACCCGAAGCGAGAATGGGACGCCGAATACAATGTAAATATAATGAAAAACAGAATAATTTGTATAAAAAATAAAATATGAAGGTTATTAAAATGAAGAGTGTTTTCTGAGATAATCAATCTTTACAAAATATAAGTATATACATATATGCATTTCATGCATAAATATAAATAAAATGCAATTGTTGCTAACAATGAAGCGTAAGCCATTATTTTGCTTTTCTTGTAATCAGAGAAGAAAATGTACATATAGGTTTGTGAGAGTTAAGCGGAAAACTGTTTAACAGATTAACAACTAAAGTTTCAACAACTTCAGACAATCGCGAAAACTGTAACAAATCTGACTCCACCCACATCTCTAAAGTTATCTTGTGAATGTACACTTATAGGGTTTCTATGACTGCATTGTGGTCGCTTTGTTTACAGTTCATTTGGTAGTTGCTGATGTGTGCAGCATCTAATGCGACGCACCAATAATAGTACCGGGTTTAATGAACTTAATTGCCTGTAAGACTCATGGTAGCTGGATATACATATGTTATAAACAAATAGATTACCTTCTGCCGAATTGGCACCTTCCACCACGGCTGAACCGCCTTCGTCACCGCCTACACTGCCTGTTCCAGCTCCCGGCTGAACAGCTGAATATGTAGTATTGGTTTCTTCATTATTAATCAGGCTCTGCCTTTCGGGATCAGCCATAATAGTAAAGCCACGGATCTTATTTTAAACTCAATAAATTCGAAAACGCACTGTGAGTGTCCACAATACAATTCAATTGCACTACTGTTTCTTGAACTACACTTCACTTTTCAGCTGTTTTTAATTGCTACTCGTTCGTATATTTGGCTCGGTGCATTAATTCCAATTATTTAAATCCAATCGAATGCACTCCTTTGTTCGCCAATGCCTTTTATAGATACTATTAGAAAATTGTAATAATTTAAAAATTATTGCTGATTTAACATTTTAAAAATATTCTAACTTGCAAGAGAAAAATGTATATTGCTTTTAAACGACTTTAATAGCTAGTAATAAGATATTTATTATATATATGTGTAAATATACGTATATAACAATTCGTCATAGCGGCGAAAGCGGTGGTTGGATGTTTCTCCCTGTTCCTTACAAAATGTTCCCTTTAACTGCGCCGTTCATATATTCATGGTTCACCCCTTGCGACTCCTACTCTCATAAAACTGACAACTACTGATGCATACGAGTACTTTCCTATGCCGATTTCAATTTCCCTTATTTAATATTTGCTGCACATACACTTTTTTTGCTTTTAACACCGCTTTTGTTGCTTTTCTTTTGTATCTTTTGCTCGACACTTTTCGTTTTCACGTTATTCTGCCTCTTTGTTTGCTAAATTGTTTTTCTACTCCCTATATCTCTATTGCAGTCATTAATTGTGAAATTTGCATTCCAATTTTTCTCGAATTTCTATATTTACCGGCTTATTTCTACTATTCTGAAAACTACTATATTATTTACTAATATTATATTAATACTTCTATTTAGATCTATTATTTACCAAGTTTTCAGCAATATTTTTGAGAGACAATCTTGAATCCTCCCAATTCAATGAAATGACTTACACAGCGTTGCAATACAATGCAACTTTTGAGCAAACATCATTAAGCTGAGTTTGCATCGGTAGGTTCATCATGAAATTGTTTACCCTGCAACCACACATGCCAGTAAATCGCTTATAGTAAAGAATTCGTATTACCAAAATAATTCGAGCTAGCATGAAATTTGCTTCAGTGCACTTCGAAAATACTTTCAGGAACGAAACTTGTAGCAATAATTCGAACACTTACACATAATTGCAAACGTTTTATTTTTCAAATCATAACATCTCAAACAAATCTTTTTGTCAATATATAAAAAAAAAAATTGCGGCAAATCCGAACCCTACAACGCAATGATCGCTCCACCGATAACGAAGAACTTCAATAAAACTATAAAGTTAATACATATTTTATAATATTTCAATATTTTGCTTTTATTACATATATAATGTCAAACTCATTCTATCTTTTGAAGGAGAAATATATATTATATATGTATGCATATAATTGATACTTCGTAGCCGCTTAAGCGGTTTTAAGCCTAGTTTCTCCTACAATATGTGGTAGCAGGAATCTATTGTCATTTCAAATCCCATTGTCAAATCACAAATATATGTTTTCTGATTGTTTAGCTTCGCTACTTTTCCTTCTTGTTTTAAAACCATTTCTTTTTTATTGCAACAATTCTGCAAGATTAGCGTTAGCGTAAATCCCTTATTATTTTTCTCGTAAAAATTATGTCAGATTGGTGAAATAAGTAATTTTTGTAAAAAAAATTATCTTAACTGATCAATGTAGTTCTATACTATTTTCTTTTCAGTTTCTTAATAAAAATGTAAGCAGAAGCTATCAGATAATCCATAAAACGTGTTTTCAAAGTGTTTTTAATTGTGGTTGGAACATGGTTTTAGTGTTGGTGTAGTGTTTGCAGAAATGGTAACAACTCTGCACTTTAGCTATTATCGAATGTATTATTTGCAACCTTGTTGAGGTAACATCAATTATCGGGTAACTCCTTATTTGTGTTTGGCAATGCCATACTACAGTTTTGGCATTTTGGTGCAAACACAACTTTTAACGAATTTTATCGCACATTTATTTTGCATATTTTCTGAAGATAATCTAGCTGTTTCTTAAGCAACTGTTTTCAAAATGTAAGTTACAGTGTGAATTCTTGTGTAATATAGGATTTCGCATAAGTTTAGTATGTTTAATGTGGAGAAACTGGTTTTCAAAATGTTGACGATGATTTCATTAGCATCTAACCTTCGTCGTTCGAACTCTTCCGCAGTTGTCGCCAGCGTCAGCAGAACCGACAACTGAGAGTCGTAGATACAAAGTAAAAAAAAAAACAATGCCAACAAAGTGGCACCAAATCAAATGAGGGAAAATCAGTTTTTCACACACTTGTTAACTAATTGATTTTTCTCATATTTTCTTTTATTTGCAGAATCGTGTATATCTTTTCCATTGCGAAGAGAAAATAGCTTGAACAGTTTTTTTTTTATAAAAATTGTATTTAAAGAGTCAGTAAAAAACCATATAAACGGTGAGAAAGAATTTTAGAAAAGGATTCGCACGCATTAAAAATTTGAATATCTATATATGTATGTTTACATATATAGGAAGATCTATATACAATCTGATTAAAGATAAATAAGCTTAGCGTAGCCTTTTTGGCAGCTACAATTAAAATGGAGTCGCCACCGATGTTCAACAGTGTTGAGGACGAATGCCGATATTGGAAGGAACGTGCTAAACTTTATCATAAAGAGTAAGTAAATGCCTAATAGTATTCTCATGTGGTTACGATACTAAATTCCTGAGAGGATACCTTATGTATGACTAAATAATATAAATTAATAAAATATTTTTTACTTCAAGGTGGACAGATGTGAAGCAAGAATATGATGAGTATGTGGAACAGTCCCGACAAATGGAGGCTGAAATGGATGCTACACTTGATCAAAAACAGAGTATAATAAAAGATCTCAGAATGACACTTTCTTCTCTAGAGAAAGAAAATGAATCTTTAAAGGTATAAAAATGGTGCACAATACAAAATTATATTATCAATACATGTTGTTTTCTATTTAATTAATTTACTCAGCTCAAACTACAATCTCATGGCATAGAATTGGCCAATACAGAGCGACAAATGGAAAATTTAAAAACTGAGCGAGACTCCTTAAAAGTGTACCTGCGACAACTGGAACAGAAAAACGATGACCTGGAAAGGGCACATCGCATACTCAACGAAAGCATTGCCGACTTTGAGCGGATGTTAGATAAAGCTTATGAAAAGAATGCTCTTCTCGAAATGGAAGTAGATGAGAAAGAGATGCTACAAGAGAAGCTACAGAGACTCATGGATGAAACAAGAGGTAAGTTTGAGGAACATCAAGAAGAGGAGTATGGCAATACAAAATAGCTTAGAATAGATAGTAATATATTAAATGGTCTCTAATTTCAAATGCACTTTTTTTTAGACTTAAAACAAGAACTGAATGTAAAAACTCGTAACCCTTTAAATGGTTCAGTCAGTAATATATCTGAAACGACAACACTGTCAGCACACACAGCTGTATTAAATGGTACTGTAAACAACAGTGAAACTATACAGGAGGCCAACAGCCAGCATAATAACTCCACTATCAATAGTATCCACAATACCAGCCTTACAAACAATTTGAGCAACAGCCCGACAGTTATCCCGAATTATGGCGGCGAACAACAACATCACTCATTGAAAAGTATGATCTTAGGTGTACTGCATTCTAGGAAATGTGGCATAAAGTTTATTAGGTTTAAATCCAAATCGAAAGCGAGAACGTCTAAATCAAGACCGTTTTGCTAAAAGATAGATTGAACCACACAAACTTTTCGACTACTTAGAACAAAGATTTTTAATTTGGCTATGTATGCTACTTGATCGGTACAAATTACAATTTTCAAAAAAAAAAAAAAAACAAAAAAAAAACAGAGCTTGACTGATTTTTTTTTATCTATTATATACATACATATACACTCTGTATTATCAGCAATGTAATATTTTCATTTAAATAAACTTATATATAGTTTGTAAGCAACACTTGGTTGAATATTTCAAAATTCTACTTTATATGTTAAAAAAAATTTAATGCACACTTAATTACTTATTCAAAACGATTCTTGGAGATAAGTATAGAGTAAATAAAATAAGTAGTTGTAATGTTTGTGTGTGTCCGTAGGTTATATAAATTATATGTAGTAACATAATGTGTTGGAACATGTACCTATAACTCAAATATAGAAAAACCTTTTTCAGATTCAACTAACTTACTCAATGGCAACGCTATGACGCCTAGTTCTCGGACATCTGCACTTAACATTGTTGCGGATATGCTCCGGAAATTGAATGTAAGTCCAAAAAACAATCAATGGATAAAAAATAATCGTTGAAGAATTGTAGAAAAGCGCTAAGAATTTTCTTAATTCATTTAAGGAGCAAACAAAATTTCAGTGTAATTTTTTATAAAAAAAAATTATTGTTAACTTAATTAAGACTCTTTAACGTCTTAAGAAATCATCGCCTTGTAACTTGAAATCTACTTAGATTTACGGAAAACCGAATTTCCTTTATAGTTAGCACCTTTTCTACATTTCATCAAAAGATAATTTTTTTTAAATTTATTAACTGCTTTTTGTCAGTTAGTTTTTTTGTGTACGTTTGGATTCACTCGACTTTTGTATTTAATATGTTCTGCATAGTTTCTTTCATTAAGCTAACATATGTTTTCTTTGTGCCAGTCTGAGCTAACACTTACAGAAATTAGTCGCCTACTAACATTTCGTATTTCATATCAGATCAAAGTCCATACTCAACTCTCTTACAATCTTGTACTCAACGTTTTTGAGTTAAAAAGCTAACCATACTTCCTAAACACATTTTTCATAAACCAAAACGCAATGTGGCATCACTGTTCTATGTGTTCTCTTTTAGTTGGATAAAGCACTTTTATGCCCTAGGTGTCAAAGATTTCGTTGTATCTGTGATCGTGCTGCCGACTATACAAGCAGCTGTGCCTCTTCACCTATGATCGATAATAATGTAGGCTGTCGCCTTGAACTACGTGTTACGAATACGTATGGAAGTACAAATTCCGTGGACACAAACGCTACGGTGATCTCCAATTCTGCCTCTGCCTCCACCAACATCTCTTCCACCGATTATGAAGCAGATGTTTCTGAAGCTTCCCTACGGCGTACGAAAAGTCGTAGTAATTCGAGTCTAAATTTTCGTACAAATATTTTTAAACGTTTCGCAGACCGCATGAGTGGCGGTAATAGCAATTTCCACAACTCAACAAAAACACCGCTACGTACAGCAAAAAGAAATAGTGTGAATTCGAACGAAACAAAATAAAATCATTTCATTCGGTTTAAGTGTTTAATTTTTTCGTTTTACTATATGTAATAATTTTTCTGTTTAGATTTTAGTATTCGAAATGCATTTAGTACATACATTTTTACAGCAATAAATGTTTTATATTTAACTTTTTGTAATATATTTGTTACTTTTTTTTTCTTTAATTATATTGTACTTTTGAATGTATGAATGTGTGTGTATATAAGAACGAGAAGGTGACGGCAATGCTAGCGAATGGGGACGAATGGTTGTGGAGGTGTGGGGCGCAGAAAAATTGACAAAATCTCCTTGCAGACTGAATTGAAAAATTTGCATAATCTGCTAAGCAATGTTCAATAACCATCTATGTTTGTATATAAATATGTGCCAGTACCCGTTTTGGATACCTTATGATAACTTTAAACTGATCGAGAGAAAATTTAACCGCTCAAAAAGTCAAAAGTGTTGCCTGAGGCAGCCAGTTCAAGCAACTTTAATGAATATAATATTTTACGCATAAATTAATTCACATTTTTATAACTCATTTGCTTAATTTTAAGAATTATAATGTGGAACCATATATCTAAATAATCGTTGGTATGGGAGCTGTATAATATAGTCTTCCGATTTCTATGATTTTTGTTATCAATATTTTGTATGTATGTTTGAGCGAATACCAAAAGGAAGACACTATGTGAACAATAAGTTGCTTAAGGAGATAATAAAAATAAAATATACAAACTGCAGGTTTCAATTAAGTTTATCAAAAATTCGAGTGTCCCTATTTTTAAATACTTGCAGTCAAACGGTAGACGGACAGACTGACCAATGTCGCTAACACACTCAACTCCCATTTTTAATCATATCGGCATAATTTTTTACGGGTCTATCTACCCCATTTATGGCATCTACAAACATGTTTATATCTAAGATTAATTATGTTCACGAAATATACAAAAGTGAAAGAAGGGAAAAAAATGTTTTTGCTTAATGTACATTTGAGGTTTATGAAAAAAAGGTTTACCACTTAATATAAAAACGTCCAAAAGTGGAAATTGAATCCAACGACTATAATATTCTGTTGTACAACTGTATATAATTATAATGAATTTTAATTATAAATTTGATAAAAAATGAAATATTCGCTTGAAAAAGACTTGTTGTACCAGAAATCTACTCCAAGCGAATTAATATTAAAAATAAATGTTACAATTTTATAAATGTAAATTCATTTCATTTTACTTTTTTTCGTTTTCAGGCAATGGAGACAAAACTTAAGACCTATCGAGATAATGCGCCAGTCGCGCATCATCATCCGCGCCAATGACAGCCACTGAGTTGCAGTTGTTCAGCAACATTTCTAACGTCAACAACTACTACGACAACAACATCAGCTATATATACACATAGCATAACTGTGCAGCCGCTAATGGATAATTAATTATATGCATGTCCATTGGTGTTTGTTCGGATAGAAGTAAAAAAGCAAAATGAGATGCATTCCTGGTATATAACGGTTAATAATATTTGAATACAATATCTGTCTATTTGTGCACCGTTAAAAGTGTGTATGAAAAAAATGTGTGTAGATCAGTATGTTGATTCTTAGACACACATAAATACATACATATGTTTATGTATGTAGAAATGAAATGTAAATGTACGGAAGGGATACGGGAAATGTAAGACATTTATTTCATTCAAAGAAGAACTGTGCAAGCCTTATTACTTAACAACTGACTATGTAGCCCTGAAACTTCGGCGATTCACTTTCGATCGCAAAGAGCAACTATGTATATGTATATTCTATGCAATCGGCGCAGTCTTTCTCCAAATCTTCGCCACATGCTCTCACACGCCCACATAATCCACATTGTCCAACGGTTCAAGACACATGCGTATATGGCTTTTGAACCATTAAACAAATTGAAATCTAAATTTGTTAATTTATTTTATAGTCCTTGCATTGACTATAAATACTTGCAAATTAACATACAGATTGAACAGATGAAACGCTTGAAAAATATCGCTAAAAGCAGTATAAGTTGTGTTTTCTATGCTAAGTTTGCCGATAAAAGAACTATTAATTTACGTAGTTGTGAAAAATGCAGAAATATCTCATTATATTGCTAATTAATAAATAAAAAATATCCAAATGTTTATGTAATCAGTTTTGAAAATGTAATTCAATAACAAAGTAAAAGAAATTTTAAAAAATATATTTAAATATATTTCACAAAATAGTCAAACAGTGATTAAAGTGCTTTAACTTTTTGAAATTTTCTCACCTTCTCATCAAAAAAATAACTTTATTTTTTTTAATGTAAATAAACCTAGTTCAAGGCATCGATAACTCAGCGAGCCAAATTTTTTTTAAACAGTTTTTCAACATACATATATTTAAACGCGAGCACACTGAGCTGAGCCAAGTGGTATTTTCAAACTATGAACGTTTTCAAATGTTCGAAAATATATCAAAACTAGCCGCATAACATCATACCAAGAATTTAAGGAATTATGCGGTTAACAGGTTTTAGATGTGGAACTTTGTTGATTTTTTATTTGCTTTTTATATTTAAGTTTAATTTTATTCGAAAATATTTTTTGTACACTTAAAGCCGTTCTTGAACGATTGTTTTCACTTTGACTACAAGAGAAAATACATATTCGTCTTTTAATGGATGTTTAATGTGAAAAAAATGCGTTTGAAAACATTTATGTGGTAATATAATTAAATATGAAAGCATTTTTTCACAACTCGTATGATGAACATGAAAGTATTTTTCTTAACACATATTTTTAATTTCGCTTAAATGCTTGTGATGATCTATAACAATTTATGATCGATTTTTTACGCCACAAACTAATAAGAGATTTATTAAAGTTGTAAAAATGAAAATGAACCTATTTTTCTACAAATATTTATATGCTCTTATTTTATGTATTACTATAAAAATGCATAATAATTAAATTATAATATATTTTGTGTAACAGTAAATATGCAAATGAGATTTGCAGCAATGAGTAATGTTTAGTAATTGTAAGTTTTCGAAAATAAAATGAGCATTTAATGCTCATGCGCGACAGCTAATACTGAGCTGAATAATATTTACATATTACGTATTATAAGAACGAACAGTGATTTAACAATGTAAGCAATGTAAATCATTTTAATTTTGAATATCCGTAATGAAAATCCTACAAAGCGTGAATGCAGCTCAAAATATAATCACAACAGACCCATATTATTGGTTATTCGAATATTAGTAATAACTGAATAACATAACTACATAAATATGTATGCGAGTATGAAACTTTTTGAGTAAGAATTGGGAAAAATACCCTCATTGTTAATAAAAGAGTTACGTCGTTGATATTCAGATCAATGTGAAAAGGCACAACAACTTTCAAACAATGGGGCTGAAAACAATTTCTTTACATTTAAGAATTTTCAGTTAATATAGCCTTTCTATTCTACGTCAACGATATGTATCTGTATATTTGAAAAAAAAAAAACTAAAAAAAAAACGAAATTCTAGACAATGACATTAAATTAGACCGCTCGTTTACACCAAAAGGCGTCTTGTTAGTATAATTTTCGACTAGTTGTAAGGGTATATCAACGTTTAGCGAAAATTTATGCAACAAATCACGTACATACATATATTTACAAGAAGTAAGCATGTAAAAAACAACTACAAATAAACACAAATCGAAATCAAACAAACGTGTCTCCGTTAGTGTTTAATCGTGTTGCAAGGCGCTTGGTATTCCAACAAAAAAGACAAGCACTATAGTAGAGAGTATATTCTCACTCACATACATATGTATAGTACATATGCATACTGTAACTGTTAACTTTCAACTCTGAGCTAAGACGTCCAGTCACCCATAATCCTCTTAGATATACTATAACGTACATAACTTAAATACATTTAACGTATACACAATTTTATAATATGTGTCTAGTGCTGCCCACACCGCACTTACCGCCCATTTTGCCAGTTTGTTTTTATAATTAATTTCCTTTTTTAATTAATTCATTGTATATTTCATGTGTATTATTTTATTTATCCTTGTATTAAGTAAACATACATTCATCTACAACTCATATATTATATTTACTTTAGTTTAATATTTACTTATATACATACATACATACATACGAGTACATTCAAATTAAAATATCTTTATATTTTGCAATATTTTCATGCAGCAGCTAAGATGATTTTACTCAATTTGAGTACAAGTAAATTAATGAAAATTATTTTTGTAAGGTTTTATCTTTGAATTGGTTAAAAATTTAAGTTCTCCAACAATGTAACTGCAAGTATATTTAATAGACATACAAATATAAGTACATATGTACATACGTATAAACAAACAATACAATACCATTATGTAAAACAATACAATAAAATAAATAATAAAAGTGTTGCCTACAGAGTTGGATTCACAAAAAATTGTGGTAGAATGACTTTATTAGTTTAGCTGTTAGAAGTGGCTTTTCTGGCGTACTCATGGGAGCTCAACTAACGAAACACTGCCATTTGGTATTTTTTAATAGGAAAAACTTAAAAACTTAACGAAATGATTTTGTTTTGTTGCGGCGCCATGGAAAGTAAAACGAAAGTACAGAAGATTCCAACACAACACACTAACCAATAGCGGCTAAATTAACGCACTTAATAGTTGTTGGTTAATAATGAATTGAATAATACAACAACAGATTATATGGCTGATGTTGGCGCAGTAGTAGAACACTCGCATGTTAAGTCAGGATCCGTTGGTTCGATCCCTGCCATAAGAAGTCTGATGAGGAGATGTGGTGATCTCCGAAACAGCTGTCACTTCTACCATTTTTCTTTGTTGTAAATATTTAATTCATACAAACAACAAGGCCTCGTAGTTTACTTAATAAAAATTAAAAAGGAAATTGTTAATGTTGATACCGAGCGAACTCAAGGTTAACATCAATTTTGAAATCGCCATGATGTTAGCAGCACCAGCAAGTAACGAAATTGAGAGAGCAAGATGTTTTACTCTCCGAAAGAGAGACATTTATTGAACAGGATCCAGTAAAAATTAGCTAGTAAGTTGTACAATAGCTATTAATTTTGGCGGTTAATTTTGAATCTGTTCATTTATACAGTTTATTATTT